GGGTGTATATAGCTCGCAGCCTCACACTGGAACACTGTAAATGTCATTATTTACCCAGTATAGTTTGTGGTGTAAATAATATAGTGCCATCCGTGCGACAATATATGTATTTTTAATTTRTAAAAACAACCTACAGTATTTTTACAGTTTTATTTCACAGTTGAAGTAAATGTTTATCAAATAAAGTCTAATGTTACAACTAGTCTGGGTTCCTTTTAACTATGATAAAGTATTCCTGACTCACCAACATGTTTCCTTTATAATAATAACAATACAAGCAAATAGGTTGATCAGTACCTTTGTTGTCAATGAGGAAGGTGTATGAAGCCAGTGAGTCTTGATAGTAGGTGACGTCCTCTAGGATGTAGGCAAGGTTGACGTCAACGCCGACCACACCCAGCAGCATGTTCCCAAAATAACACGGCCGACTCACAGTCATGATGAACCCTGAGGAGAGGGGGGAAAGTGCCTGATCTCAAAAACAAACAATGACCGCTTCTGCTTGTTCACGTTAAAACTGTTTGGCTGGCTTTTATTGCAATTAATCACTACTTGTGACATCAACTACCCACCATCTCCCATKGGGTCAGAGTAGGGCAGGCTGAAGCGGGCCAGGTCGATCATGCGATTGGGCAGGTTGATGTAAAAGCGGCCCACYGTCGTCTCCAGGTTGCTCAGCTGGTTCAGCACCATCATGCTGCCCTTCACCACCGGCATCACCGACGCTCCGGCCGATCCGGGCGGCGACGCGGCCGAGGAGCGGTCTCGGAACGCTCGATCGACGCCGTACTTCACAGAATTCTGCTCGGCGAGGTCCCTCAGGAAGGCCAGCTCCTTCAAACCGGTGACTCCCTCTGGAGGAGGAGTGGAACAGAAACCGAGTGAAAAATGAGGGAACATGTGACATTTGTTCAGGCTAATCAAGAGGGGAGTTTAGAAACAAAGCAGCAGCTGATGGCTGAAAAGAAAAAAAAGGTGCATGATTCTAACTCTGAACATAGATGCCAACATGCTGTATCTACAACAAATTCATCCCCAAATCCAGTCTGAATTCAAAAATAAATCGTGTCACRGGAAGTTTTATTATTAGAATAACTAGTCACACTAAGCTGACGGGGTTGAACTACAAAAAATTGGACTTAAACTGGTTTAAAACAAATGATGTAAATAAATTCCCAAACTGCGTCAGGGATTTTCCACACGTTCAAACCGTGACTCATGTTACTGACTGATGATCTCTGTAAGCTCGACGTGAACGCTCCTGCCGAGCTCAGCTGTCATCTATCAAGCTCTGAGATCATGACTTTAATAAATCCCTTGTTACTTAAACACATAAATACAAACGAGACAATAACGCACGCTTCAGATTTAATCTGCGCAGTCGTCAGAAGGTCATTCAGGGGGGATGGAAAGGTGGAGAGATGGATGGAACATTTGGCATCCCGTTACCCAATGAGGAAGGACGGAGCAGAGTGTCTGCCAGCGTCCAATCACGTCATGGATTATAGCGGAAWCCCTTTCTAATGCCAAAGCTCTGCTCGTTTGATCGGCACCACGGGCCTCACGCTGGAAGGCCGGGTCGCTGTGGGTGGCAACGTCAAACAGACTCCAGGAGGAAATTCTGCTGACAGCCCAGAGACGGACTCAGCGGCAACACCTGCAGTTCTTACTTTAATCAGCGCAAAGATCCAGGCAGATGCATTTCCAAACRTGGCCAACACATTCAAACAAAGGACATTGTGTCGACTACCATTTCTGTAGCCTAAAACTGACAAGCCTAACCCGAATCTAAACTCAGGTAAAACAAGACCTAAGTTTTAGCCCATAAATGACATTCATGTCTGTCAAATTCTAATTAATTGGCCTAATCTAATCTTACCTCCACCAAGGGCGAGGTAATGTTTTCGGTCGTGTATGTCTGTCTGTCTGTCGTTCTGTCTGTTGACAACATTACTCAAAAA